GCTAAGTAGAACAATAAATTCCTTTTTGAATTACTGCTGGACTTTCGGAAGGCTTCGCTTGCTAGAAACAAGGACTTAATTACTAGTCAGGGAACTTTTGTGTTATTTGTTCATTATGAAAGGCAGCGACATATTATTTTAGGGAATATTATTATTATACATTTGTCACTGCAGCCCACATAATTTGGTAAGCCCGAATCTACATCACTTGAGAAGAAGAAAAAATCAATATTAAAACCCACAAAGTATGTGTAGTGAAAAGAAAGAAAGGCATACAAAGCAATGGGGTGTACATTAAGTTCGGAGGAACGCAAGGCATGTTGCTTTCCATGTTGACAGAATAACTCTAGTTTCAAGAGTGAGTACTACACTCCATGTTCCTTATCTATTTCTGTGGTTTCCAAAATTCATTAGTACATATTGTAGAGTGCTTAAAGAATGAAAGAGACATCAATGAGAACCTTTCTATTCTAACATTTTGGGACAACATGATCAGAAGTTTCTGTTATCTTACTGGAAATGAACCACTGTTTTTGCATGCTCTTAATGCACACTATATATGTTTTCACAATTGTCTGCAATAAATAATATGCACATATCTAGAAGTTGCATCACATGTATACAGCTAAGTAGAACAAACTAAATTGGTTTCCGAGTTTCCAGAGTCAAAATATTGAAAATGCGACGCATCATTGGTTTGCTCGACATGTATCATTTGGCATGCCATTATTTATTTGAAATGTATCTTTTATACAACATCTTGATGGAAATGTTTAATAGCCCGAAAAACAAGTATATCTATCACTAATGTTTGAGTAACATGCAAAACATCACTATTTACTGGTCATTTATTTGCGTGAATCTTAAAAATGGATGGACAGTATAATAACATCACCACCCATCATATTCAATTGAGTGATAGAATTATGTAAATGCAAGTAACAATTTTTGCTGTCTAACTCTTCTTGCCGCCCATAATTTCACTGACTCTCAGCTGGAACACATTAAGTACACATCAAGTCGACTTTTGGAACGCTTCACATGCTTGAAACAAGGACTTAATTACTAGTCAGGGAAATCTTGTGTCATTTGTTCATTATGAAAGGAAGAGGTATATTATTGTAGGGAATATTATTATTATACTGTATGTCACTGCTGCCCACATAATTTGGTAAGCCTGAATACACATAACTTGAGAAGAAGAAAAACAACCAATATTAAATCCCACAAAGTATGCGTAATGAAAAGAAACAAAGACACGCAAAGCAGTGGAGGACATTAAGTTCAGAGGCCAATGGATATAAGTACCGCACCACCTTGGTGGCATACCATCCAAAGGAACAAACCACAGAGTTTCAGCAGAGAAGTGAAACCCACAACACGCTCTGCCTTCTTCCCCCACCATGGCTGCCACTTTGTCTCCCATCATCGGTGTCCTCCTGATCCTGCTGCCACTAGCGTCATCCTCCTCCTACATCAAGTTGCCGCTCGGAGGCAAGGTCCACCCTGAAGGGTATGTTTCTCAGATCCCGTCATGGATCATCCTTCTCAGACTTGAGGTTTTCTTTCGTTCTCATACTTGACATGCTTTTCTCTACCTCTGCAGTCACTTCTATGTTACGATGAACGTTGGTGTACCCGCCAAGCCATACTTCTTGGGCATCGACACTGGCAGCAACCTCACCTGGCTGGAGTGCCAGCATCGCATCTGCAAGAACTGCAAGGTCTCAACAGTCAATACTGCCATATCACATACTCCCTCTGTAAACTAATATAAGAGCGTTTAGATCACTAAAGTAGTTATCTAAACCCTCTTATATTAGTTTACGGAGGGAATACTATCTTGCACTTGCATCAAAGTCTCTAATATTTTGGGTACCTCTTTGCTTTGTTGCTGGATGACAGGGCCGACACCAACCGTACCATCCAAAAAAGCCTCACAACTTTGTGAAACGTGGAGATCCGTTATGTTGTCAACTGCTCAAAGACCTGCCTGGTCATAACAAGCGTCCGTGTGCCAGGAAGGGTTCAGGCGAATGCCGCTACAAAATCCAATACTTCGACGGGAAGTCATCAGAAGGTGTTGTCGCCAGGGACATGGTCACTGTCCACACGGCTTCTCTCCATCAAGACACGTTGAGAGAACAGATTGACTTTGGGTATGAGACTAACTGAAATGTTCTTGCGTGTGCAGTGCCTATTGGATTTGGATGTTGACGACAGTCACCTTTTGTTTTGTGCAGATGTGGATACAACCAGCAACCATGGAAGTCATCCGTCATAGATGGCATCCTCGGTCTTGGGATGGGAAGGGTAGGTTTTGTTGCACAACTAAAGGCACACAAGATGATCACCAAGGACATCATTGGGCATTGCCTCAGCATCGATGGAGGGGGCTACCTCTTTGTTGGGGACTATAACTTGCCCACCAGCATAACCTGGGCTCCCATGAGAAAACACCAGTAAGCTAGTATTACTTGTGATCACGTGTTCATCAAGTGTTGGGTTGTCAATTTCAGCGTTTGGTTATTTCTTCACCTCTGTGTAACTTGAATATGTATAGTTAGAGGAGGCTATCCTCGATATTTCTTTCCATTTGATTTCAAACGGTATATAAGACTGTTTATTTTTGCCAGGCATCATTACTACACACCTGGCCCAGGAAAACTCTCCATTGAGGGAAAGCACATAGGCACGGATAAATTGGAGGTGGTCTTTGACAGTGGTGCAACATACACTTATTTACCTGACCAGACGTACAATCGCCTTCTTGCAGAAGTAAAGCCCAAATCACAGTAATTTTGATTCCCTTACATATTTTGAACAGATAAACGTGACATATTGAACTTTACTCTTTCCTCTTCGTTGGAATACAATAATTGCACCTTTATTTTTTCTTGATTATTGCACAGTTCGGAAGAAGGAACGATAATTATGATTCCCTTATGTATTCTACAATACTTTGGATCTTGCAGGTGAAAACTACTGTCAGCAAGTCACTTTCGAAGGTGCAAGATGCTCTGCTTCCTGTATGCTGGAAAGGGAGTAAGCCAATCAGATCAATAAAAGAAATCAAGGGGAAATTCAAGCCACTCTCGTTGGAATTTGACAACAAGGCAGTCATGCATATCCCTCCTGAAAACTACCTCGTCCACACGGTAAATCTTTAATGACTCAATTCATTGCATATTTGTGTAACTTCAAAACATAGAAGGCAATACTATGTGCATGTTTTGTGGCAGTCACACGGGAATGTATGCTTGGGCATCCTTAATGGATCAAGGTTTCCTGAAGGCCAAATGATGCGAATTGGAGGTGTGAAGTTGGCAGATATTGTCCGGTTTCTAAAACTTTTACACCATGCATCCCTGCAGTAATGATTTACATTTGGATCTTCTGGCTTGCAGATGTCTCAATGCAAGATTTACTGGTGATATATGACAAGGTGGACAGGCGTATCGGATGGGTCAGTAAAAGTTGTCCTACTCCAAAAATACCATCAACCCACGTTCTCTGAGCGTCCTTGCCTTGTTACATCTTATCAACATCATCAGATTGTGTGGTAGATGTCCTCTGAAATGTGATTGTGTGCTATCTTGTGAGGTCACGACTCACCTCGTGACTATTATTCATTGAATGGAAATCAAATTGCTATTTCGAAAGTATGTTTGTACTTAACATTTATGTTTAATTTTATGTATCCGTAAACCCTAAACTCCGGAAATACCATCAATCCGTGTACTCCTGAATGTCCTTACCTTGTTACATCTTATCAACATTATCAGATTGTATGGTAGATCTTCTCTGAAATGTGATTGTGTGCTACCTTAACATTGAGTGGGATTCAAATTGCTATTTCAAAAGTATGTGTGTGCTTAACTTCAATGTTGAATGTTATGTATGTATGTATCTATTATTATTTACTAAATCTATGGCTAACAAAAAAAAAGGAGATGCCATAGAAAATCTCACAAAACTAAGTGAACATCTGACCATTCATTTTTTTACATTATGTTATCACAGAAAATTGATCTTATAGTAGACCTTCTAGAAGCTACCGACACGTGCCATCAGCATTGAAAAAATACTTACATCTCTTAAGTCAACATGGGAGTACAATTAATGCCACAAAAAAATTATTTTATTTGAAATTGAAGTAAACTTTATGTTAATACAATATAGTTTCTCGCAGATAAAAAACATAGAACTAATCGCTATGGTCATATGGTGCTAGCAAGGCATAGTTGACATTGACCAACATGACCAGCTCAACATTTCCATTGACCAACGCCTCTGGCCCTGGCATATCTCTGTCTAGTTCAGATCCGCCGTTCTCGGCAGGGATGACCGCCCTACGCATCGCACAGACTATATCCTGTGGCGTTGGCTATCACAAAACAGGAAAAATGTTAACTGCCCAAAAATGATCCAATGGCAACGAATTTTATTGTCATGGCAGACAGTCCTGATGGCAACCACAATCTTCTGCCCTGGCATGCAAACTGGACTATGCGCCTGGTGCGCTTATTTTCTTAGGAAACGACTAGATTGTGCTAACATACTCGCCCTAATATAGGCATTCTTCAGATCAACGATCCCAATCTGGCGGCGCATCTCCTGGAACTGCACACAGGCAAGTGCTTTCATCAACATGTCGGCCAATTAATCGCCAGTGCCACTTCATCCGCTAGTGTGTCGAGAGCAAGCACATCAGGCTCCGTTACCAGTTCATCCGCTAGTGTGTGGAGAAAAGCGACATCAACACCCAGCTTTTCCAGACGCGGGATTCATTGCCATGGCAGCAGTTTCCGCTGCTGATGTTGCTGCCACAGTACCCAAGAGGACGACGTAGTCGATGCCGAAGCTCTCGCGCCGGTTCTCGTTGCCTCTGCATCCCACTTCCAGTTGTCGTTCTTGTCGAAGACGATGTCCCACGAGAGATGGACCCGTTGTGTGGTGGGGTCGTAGATGCGGTACGCCTTGAACCCTGGCTCATACGCGATGAAGATCATCTGCGTACTCAAGTGATGCGGTACGTCTTCAAGTTTGGGTAGGCCGTCTTGACACAAGCTATTCAACCAAATACGCACACTCGGGTTTAGTGTCGCGCCAAGATTCATATGACTTCACTTCCTCGGCGATAAGGGTGTGCAAGTGATTTAGGAGGTACACTGCCATTGTCATCATCTTGCCCAGAAGAAATTGGGAAACCCCTTCGTCTTGAGCATGGACCGGGCCACACCTCCCACTGTTTCATTTTGGCGCGCTCAACCGCACCATTCTATTGCGGCGAGTAGGGCTCCGTCAGATGGCTTTTGACTCTGTGGTCGGCAAAGTATGATGTGGGCTTACTGGTGGTGAACCTGCCGCCGTGATCCATCTACAACATATGCAGCTTGCGCCTCACCTTCATCTCCACATCAATTTGGAATCACTTGAGCGTTCTGCCAGCCTCGTCCTTGGTGGATAGCAACACCGACCACATGTAGCGGTTGTAGTCATCGACCATGAGTAGGGAGTAGTTGAGACCTCCTGACGTTGCCGGCGTGATGACCCCACCGAGATCGGCATGGACGAGGTTGAGTGATTCCTTCGCCATGTACTTGGCCTGTTGCGGGCATGGTCTGTGGCATGGCTCCCTGGTCAAGGAGGCTTGGCAGAGCTCATCAGAGTGCTCGATGCCGGGCAACCAGATATCGAGCTGGTATCCGAGACCTTCTAGGAAACCTCACCGGGATTCAACATAAGCCGGTAGGACAAATCAAATTGGTAGTCATATTTGGCAGAAAATGATAATTTTAGGAGAGAATTGCGGACGTTCGAAGTTGTCAATTTGAAGATGGCGTATAAGGCACAAATTGAGCAGCCCCAAATTGCAAAATATATGGATATCCCAAAAGAGCACTAAATGATGATTAAAACTACCAGGACCAAATGGGGTTATCAAGGTCCAAGTATCATAGAGCACACTGTCGAGTGGGACGGGCAGAGCTACGACCTGGGCGCTATGCCAATAGAAGAATAAACCCACATGGAAATCACTTGGGCATATAGAGCAATATCCACATATAATAAACTTGGAGCAGATGAACCACCGAAGCGGCATGGAGCCACTACAAGAAAAAGACACATTAGTGACACTAGTCGTCAACCCGTTCATTCGCACGGGCCATATATCTAAGGTATTGTTTCAATCTATATTATGAAGAAATATTCTTTTCTGATATGAGCCACTTTAATTGAGATGTTTGTGAAGGATATACGTTTAGAAACACAGAGATTTGAAAAAAAAAGTATGCATGTAATTATATGAAATCATAATCTAATGCCACCAAACTAATATTGTTTCAATAACATAGTATCACATTATATTGCTCAAAGTTCAACAATGATGATGCAACCATGCATGAACAATTACCCAAATCATATGTTTGCTGGTTTCATTTGGAAAGGTTGTAGAGCTTCGAAACACACTACACAGGGTGTGACCTTTCATAACGTATTACATAGCTTCCAAAAATGTCCTATATTGTGGGCGGAAGAAGTATGTGGTAATGCATTTTTAAGTCTTGAACTACATAATAGTATAATTTTTATGTGACATCTTTTAGTAAATGGATGGCACGTATAAAATGTGCTTGTAAACTCCTCTAACTTTGACTATTAATATATAGAAAAGTTTTCAAAATGGTCTTGTGATAATACATAGTAACATAGAATTTTCATGGAAATAGTTTCAAAATCTTTTTAATGCTTTATGAATATTTATGCTCTTACATCAAATATCGAAGCAAAGTATTGTTGCCTTTGTATGATGAAAATGAATTTCAATATTTTACTAAAAATATGATATAGTTTTCATACCATGGTAACTGATTAGCATTTTATCGAGCTTGTCCTAACAATGTATATAATTCATAATTTTGCATATGCTTGTATTCCCAAAAATATTTAATATACCTAGGTGTCTCAAGAAAGGGTTAGTTCTAGAAATCCATATTGACTAATGACCTAGAAATTTGATTGTTAAGTAGTATGCAAAAGAGCAGAAGATATAGGCCTTGGTAACAATGTGGAGTTGCAAAATGAATGCCTTCCGAACACTTGATAAAAACACACCATGATGATCAAGCATCTCGCAGCATCGTTGACCTTTGGTAACATAAACAAAATAAGAGTAATTGGACCAGTTAGAATTAAAAAAAGATCTATTTACATGAATAACATACCCTCCATATATTAAATCGATGGACTCCTTCGAACTATAATAATTCCTTAGATGATGAAAGTAAAATAATATGATAGTTTCAATTGTTGGGACGCATATGTTTGCAATGCAAAAGAAAAATCATAATAGTTCTTTCGAAGTTGCAAAACAAAATATTGCTTTTGTTGTGGGAAAGGTTCCATCGAGCCAAGACAAAAGGGATATATTTAGAAATCTCAGAATGAGTAGCCATACAACATGATACCCGCAATTGGAAAATTATGTCAAGTGCTCACCCACATGTAAGAAAACAAAGGAAATAGGACCAATTAATGTCAATAACATAGGTTGCATCTGATATAAGGATTCATCTGCATAAAGAATCATTTTAATAGGTTAAGCTTCATGAACTTAACTATAGCTCAATTTATAGTGGAATGAAGTTTTAATTGTATTCAAGTTCAAACATGTCAAGTTATTTGAAATTGAGTACGTAAGTTATGAACAGGAAGTATGTGATAAAAGTGTTCTAGTGCAAAAGGATTGAATTGAAGTGGATACATAGCTTGAAAGATATGGACATTCATGTTCCAATTCAATATAAATTTGAACTAACATATAATTTTTGAGAAGTTTGGATTTGTGATGTCTAGTGGACGAGGTTCATTGCAAGACTCAATATGCAAAAGGAATCATTACAATTGGATCAAAGTTTGCAATACATGATCAATCAAGTTTTAAATCCAAATTTAAATAAACTTATATTTGAAAGGTTCAAACATGTGAAAATTTGGTTCTACTGGATACTTTGGGTCAATGTGAACCCAATTCAAGAAGAATAACTCAATTCGGCTTTGTGGTTTTCAAACTAGAGCTTAATAAAGATTCAAATTGAAATTTGAATAAATTCTGATTTGACAGTTAGAAAATTGGAATATTATACCATCAGATAAAGCACTCCATGAGGGTCAATATGCAAAATGATTCATCCTGTTTGGAGTTTCTTGTGAAAATGTATAAAATTTCTAAGTTTCACGGGCTTTTATGCAAAAACAAAAATTACAGAGGGGTCCTTGTACATGTGGCATCCTTTGGTCCAAGGATACCGTTTTGGGCTTATTTAAATCGGAGATGTTGGATCTCAGACCAATGACCCACACTTTGTACCGATTCGTTGGTTAAGTGGGATCTAATCTCTCATGTTGGTTTCGGATCCAATGACCAAGATCCTAGGGCTTCGCTGGTGAGGGGAATTGCTAGCTAGAGATTTTGGAGGGTTGAAAACGATGGCGGTGGTGCCTTGGGATTGA